TCATTTTATTCCGTAATTATCCTTTATCTTTTTATTTTAGCAATTAAAAAAGTTGGCATTAAAAAAAAAAAAAAAAAAAAGTATTTCAATATTTTATAAAACTGATATGGCAGTGCAAACATGAGAAGCAGGCAAACTCGATTTGCCTTTCTTTTTTGTGTAAAAATTACTGAAATCAAATTTTGGCATGGAGGATGTATTACATAGAGAATGTGCATTGCCTTACTCTTAAAGGAGGGCATCTCATCTGAATGAACTATTGGTTTTGATTTAACTGTATGAAAAAGTAGTATGGAACTGGGCTATTCAGCACCCTAAATTACACCAGACTAAATGGACACCTGAATAACGATTTCTTAATAGCAACGATAAAGAAAGGTTTCTGAGTACATTTTTAAAGGAAATGCCTTTGATGTTTAATGTGCAGATTAGACTCTTGAAAGTCCATTAAAAATAAGAAATGAGTTATATACTAATGTGCTGAAATGACTGACCATTGATTGTGGACAGTAATATACAAATCATTTGCCTCTTTTCAAATGGTGTCAAGTCATATCAAATATAAGTGGGGAAATAAAATTCCTCAGGTAAATTATATATTTTTTAAACAAACATAAAGGGAATTTCTTTCCAAATGATTATGGATAAAAAGAAAAAAATACATAGCTGGAAATCAGTACTATACCTGTTGAGTTTTACATATGAAACCAAATATTAACAAACAGTTACAATACAATAACTATAATAGTAATCAAATGTAGGTAACAATAATCTTAGGCTCGCAAAAGGCTGCTACAAAATGATCGTACAGTCCTGCCTCGGCTGGTCTGGGGTGGGCTGTTCCTCTGGAGTCTGCGATTGCCTGGCACTGAGCTAAATACCAGAGCCACTGAGATAAGGAGCTATCAGCCATGGGTCATTCTGAGGTCACCATGGAAACCCTAATTTCCCAAGAGCACAGAGGGATCTGGAATGAAATTAGCAAGAGGTTTGTTACTACTAGATATCATGGGGATTTTCCCTTGCTATTGGAGCAAATGAAAACGTAAAAAATATTACATTTGTTGTAGTGTTTGTTCACCTATATAGAAGTTAAGTGAGATTAAGTGAGAACGAATATGAATGAGATCAATCAGTATTATTGATTTTAAAAGCCTCTCCAGTGGGTTTAGAAAATACAAAAGGATACAATAGGAAAGTGGTTCAATCGCTGCATGAGACACTCACCATGATAGTGGTTCCTTACGTGGCTCCTCCTCTTCCTGTGCAGCCAATCGTCTAAGCTGACTTTCTTCGTCTAGAAAGACACACCGACTTTCAATATTAAGCAGGTATTTACTCCAAAGTAGTGCTGGACAATTAACTGAATTCATAATATGGACTTTTTCCATTATTAAAGGCTGCTAAATAAATATTATAATATAATATATATATATATATAAATTTAAATATATATATATATATATTAGGGCTGTCAAATCCAGCTAATAGGATTTCATCATAAAATTTCATTTTAAAAATTAGATTTTTCTGATTATCATTTCATATGTCAGGCTTTAGAGGGTTTAAATATTGAGGACTGGGGGTTTAGAAACAAGAAAATGATGCATATGCACAGAGACACGCACACACACCGTTCAGGTGAATGATATATACCTGTGGAGTTCTCCATGCTAGCTGATGAATGACTGGATTTGGATTTCTTTGACTCGTATTTCAATCGATCTACAACACAGAAGGCAGGTATTACGGGAAGGAAAATTTGGCATTCAACGAGGATATGAGATCATCCAATGAGGACTTTTCAAGTGTAAAAGCACAAAATGTGCATGACAGAGCATAACTAAATCTCGCTGTGAGAAATAGACGCTGTTAATGGCCTTGGAGAGAAACTGAAACAGTCAATGTTCACAGCCGGGTTGTGTAAATTAGCATAAGAATTGACTTTTCAGGATTTGTGTAGGTGGAACTGTGAAAGGAGGGGAAGTGGAGTATGCCAGAAACTGCTAATTGTCCCGTTTAGCATATGGGCGAGCGTCTTCCTACCTCTTTCCAATGCAATGAGGAACTCTCGGTTCCTTTGTAGCTCCTTCATGAACTCCTCGTTCTGCAGGTAGAGAGCAATACGCTCATCCTCCAAATATTGCTTCAGTTTGCGTTCCTGCTCTGAAGTACCACCTGTTTCCACGGCGGCTGCCACAGTGGGGACTTTCTGGGGTACTGAGGTGGAGGACGAGGAGGAGGAAGAGGGTTTGGAGACGCTACTCTGAGAGCCCTGCAGAATATTGAAGGGATATGTCAAACAAACTTTAAAAACAGGTTGTTTTAGCACAGTTCCTCACAGTCAGAATTTCATAAACAAAAAAGGTAAAACATTTCAGAAAATTGTCTACTGTCATGAGGTTAATTTTGGTTTAAAAAAATCCAGTTCTCCAACTAACAGTTTCATCCCATCATACACAAAATATTTTAATATCTACATTTTAATTATATTAATATCTGAATTCATATTTAAAAAATATTTAAACTCCAAATCCAAAGAAAAATTATTTTGCTTATATTAGTATTTTTAACTCTTCAGATTTCCTTTTGCGTTGTTTAAATTATCATCATGAATCAAGCATATTTTCCAACAAAATCTGCATTACCATATTTCGGATCATTTTAGTACTACCATAAAGGTAATTTTATATGATTTTGATGAATAGTATAAAATACTATATGCTATGGAATACTATATAATTTCATAATTTTTTCCCATTATGGTAATGTAAAAGAAAACTGTTCACACTATGTTAATGGGATGGAAATATGCTTAAAACAGGCTTTGTTTTATTATTTTTTTATTTCCGTTTAATTTTTAGATAAAATATGATCCATACATGTTGAGAGGAGATTCATTCTAATAAAAACACACATTGTTAAAGTGAGAAATTTAACATGATTAATGTCATGTTGCCTCAAATACCAAATATAATGCTTTATGTATGAATGATCAGTATATGCAGGATGACTGTATGTTTAAGGCGCTCCGATCAGGGTTTTTGGAGCCGACCACCGATCACAGGAAGATCAGTATTTGCCGATACGATCACTGATACGGATCTTTTTGAAGCCTTCTTTTTATCATGTAGAATTATTTATAGTGATTTTTCAAAAATATATAATTATCTCACCTAAATCATGCAGTGCATTTTTGTTTGTACCATGGGGCAATTGTTGCACAATAGCTTATGGTCAGCACAAGCTTGATTTTGTGAGCTGTATGTGAGGCGGTCTTATGTGTGTGTGCTTTGAGTGTATATGAGCTCACCGTCTCTAGGAGAGCACGCAAGTGCTAAATGGTTTAAACACTAGCTAGACTTAAAAAGAAATGCAAATTAGAAACTTTAGTGATGATGCGACCAGGGCTGGATTGGTAATCGGGCATACCGGGCATTTTCCCGGTGGGTCGACGCACTTAAGGGGCCGACAGAATGTTTTTGTTTTTTTTGCCGAGGACCATCATACAGGGACAGCGAGCAGCCAGTGGCCCATTGGTTTGTCTCCTGTATTGACAGCGTAAACATCCAATCATAATGCGCTATAGACGGAGCGAATATGTATTTTGCTCTGCCTATTTAAAATCGCTTCACCCCAACTTCTTCCTCGTCGGCTTTTCCCACGTTTTCACAGCAGCTTTATCAGTAGCCCCTCACTGCAGAACACAAGATCCAGGGGGCGTGGTTGGATCCAAAGTTGAAGGATATGAATGATGCCGTAGCAACGTTCTTCTTTTAGACTTCCTCCGCTTTGTCTTCTCTGAGAACCCTCTGGCAATTTCAAACAGCTTTTTCCTGGTTGCTGTAGATGAGATTGCACCAGAAATCTTAATGTCCTGTAAAATCCTGAAGTAAAATCCTGAATACACAATTATCTTCCAGTGAACTGGGGTGTTTAAGGCAAGACCCTTACATTTCCCCATGTGCTTTAGCTTGTCTCTAAACAGAGCGTCATCTGAGACTGCTGTACAGGCCTCTACCGATCCGGAAGCATAGTGGTCACCTGTGTTTCCAGGTAAAAAAGAAAAGCATCTTGATGTCTATAGCACAAATGTTGCCAAATGGGTCACATGTTAATTTTATACATTTTAAACAGGTTGTACACAATCTACTACATGCCTTTTGTTATCTGACTAATATTACAGTTTTTTTTAGCAATTAAAAGGCCCTGAAGTTCGCCTTTCAGGTCCTGGTATGCATGTCTTTTTGCTGTGAAATCTTTACTGATTTTTATAAAGTAAACATAAGAATAACTTTTATTTTGTTAGTAATATTAAAAAAAAAAAAAAACTGAAGCAACTTAGGTTTGATTATCCATAGATTTTTTTAATCATGTTAAAATATGAGGATCAAATATGATAAAACAAATATGAATATCTCTCAATCATCATTGTGTTTTATTGCACTACGTGTTTTGCTCCCCTCGATAAAAACTAGAGATCTTTGATCATAAAACTAAGCATGTAAATATAATTTTACTACATTATTAGGAGATACAGAATGACAACTGATGTAAGTTTTCTGCTGTTATATACTGTTATAAAAATCTCATTAATTTACATTACAAGCTAATAGGATTTCATCATAAAATTTCATTTTAAAAATTAGATTTTTCTGATTATCATTTCATATGTCAGGCTTTAGAGGGTTTAAATATTGAGGACTGGGGGTTTAGAAACAAGAAAATGATGCATATGCACAGAGACACGCACACACACCGTTCAGGTGAATGATATATACCTGTGGAGTTCTCCATGCTAGCTGATGAATGACTGGATTTGGATTTCTTTGACTCGTATTTCAATCGATCTACAACACAGAAGGCAGGTATTACGGGAAGGAAAATTTGGCATTCAACGAGGATATGAGATCATCCAATGAGGACTTTTCAAGTGTAAAAGCACAAAATGTGCATGACAGAGCATAACTAAATCTCGCTGTGAGAAATAGACGCTGTTAATGGCCTTGGAGAGAAACTGAAACAGTCAATGTTCACAGCCGGGTTGTGTAAATTAGCATAAGAATTGACTTTTCAGGATTTGTGTAGGTGGAACTGTGAAAGGAGGGGAAGTGGAGTATGCCAGAAACTGCTAATTGTCCCGTTTAGCATATGGGCGAGCGTCTTCCTACCTCTTTCCAATGCAATGAGGAACTCTCGGTTCCTTTGTAGCTCCTTCATGAACTCCTCGTTCTGCAGGTAGAGAGCAATACGCTCATCCTCCAAATATTGCTTCAGTTTGCGTTCCTGCTCTGAAGTACCACCTGTTTCCACGGCGGCTGCCACAGTGGGGACTTTCTGGGGTACTGAGGTGGAGGACGAGGAGGAGGAAGAGGGTTTGGAGACGCTACTCTGAGAGCCCTGCAGAATATTGAAGGGATATGTCAAACAAACTTTAAAAACAGGTTGTTTTAGCACAGTTCCTCACAGTCAGAATTTCATAAACAAAAAAGGTAAAACATTTCAGAAAATTGTCTACTGTCATGAGGTTAATTTTGGTTTAAAAAAATCCAGTTCTCCAACTAACAGTTTCATCCCATCATACACAAAATATTTTAATATCTACATTTTAATTATATTAATATCTGAATTCATATTTAAAAAATATTTAAACTCCAAATCCAAAGAAAAATTATTTTGCTTATATTAGTATTTTTAACTCTTCAGATTTCCTTTTGCGTTGTTTAAATTATCATCATGAATCAAGCATATTTTCCAACAAAATCTGCATTACCATATTTCGGATCATTTTAGTACTACCATAAAGGTAATTTTATATGATTTTGATGAATAGTATAAAATACTATATGCTATGGAATACTATATAATTTCATAATTTTTTCCCATTATGGTAATGTAAAAGAAAACTGTTCACACTATGTTAATGGGATGGAAATATGCTTAAAACAGGCTTTGTTTTATTATTTTTTTATTTCCGTTTAATTTTTAGATAAAATATGATCCATACATGTTGAGAGGAGATTCATTCTAATAAAAACACACATTGTTAAAGTGAGAAATTTAACATGATTAATGTCATGTTGCCTCAAATACCAAATATAATGCTTTATGTATGAATGATCAGTATATGCAGGATGACTGTATGTTTAAGGCGCTCCGATCAGGGTTTTTGGAGCCGACCACCGATCACAGGAAGATCAGTATTTGCCGATACGATCACTGATACGGATCTTTTTGAAGCCTTCTTTTTATCATGTAGAATTATTTATAGTGATTTTTCAAAAATATATAATTATCTCACCTAAATCATGCAGTGCATTTTTGTTTGTACCATGGGGCAATTGTTGCACAATAGCTTATGGTCAGCACAAGCTTGATTTTGTGAGCTGTATGTGAGGCGGTCTTATGTGTGTGTGCTTTGAGTGTATATGAGCTCACCGTCTCTAGGAGAGCACGCAAGTGCTAAATGGTTTAAACACTAGCTAGACTTAAAAAGAAATGCAAATTAGAAACTTTAGTGATGATGCGACCAGGGCTGGATTGGTAATCGGGCATACCGGGCATTTTCCCGGTGGGTCGACGCACTTAAGGGGCCGACAGAATGTTTTTGTTTTTTTTGCCGAGGACCATCATACAGGGACAGCGAGCAGCCAGTGGCCCATTGGTTTGTCTCCTGTATTGACAGCGTAAACATCCAATCATAATGCGCTATAGACGGAGCGAATAAGTATTTTGCTCTGCCTATTTAAAATCGCTTCACCCCAACTTCTTCCTCGTCAGCTTTTCCCACGTTTTCACAGCAGCTTTATCAGTAGCCCCTCACTGCAGAATACAAGATCCAGGGGGCGTGGTTGGATCCACATCTAGGGGGTGGAGATTGGTAAGTTAAGGGGTGGAGATGGGTGGGTTTAGGGATCAGGGAGTGGAGATGGGTAAGTTTAGGTATATGTAAGGTGGGAGGAGTTGGATCTGGATCCAACCACGCCCCCTGGATCTTGTGTTCTGCAGTGAGAACACCATCTCAGCTTTATCAAGAAACAGGCTTGCTCAGCGGTGAGTGATGCGGGCCAAAGAGCCAGGCAGGAGGAAGAAGAGAGTAGTTGAATCAGTAATGTGCTTGATAGGGACTCGCAGCGGAGGCAGGCATCTAACCTATCCTAATGTGTGTACGCACCATGATGTAGAATACGAAAAACACTTTAATTAAATGTCAATTCGTCCCCCATGATTTTTTTGGCCAAGTCAAGTCAAGTGTGTTCATAGAGGTTGGGCCAATGCGAATAAAGCTAGATTTAAATAAAAAAAAGACGATATTGTTGGACCTGACATTTTATTCTTATCCAAAACAACATGTGATATGAGTGTGATACATAGGCTACATACATACACTACCAGTCAAAATTGTTTGAAAAGAAAGAAAGATCCAATAGAAAGATCAAAAGATCAGCATTCATATGAAATAAAAAGCTTTTGTAACATTATACATATACCATTCAAAAGCTTGGAGTTAATTAGCAAGGATGCTTTAAATTGATCAAAAGTGACGATTAAAGGGGTCATATGATGCTGCTAAAAAGAACATTATTTGGTGTAATGAAATGTGTTTATGCGGTTTAAAGTTAAAAAAACACATTCTTTTCCACATACTGTACATTATTGTTTCTCCTCTATGCCCCGACTTTTTGAAACACGTCGATTTTTACAAAGCTCATCGGTCTGAAAAGCGAGGTGTGCTGTGATTGGCCGAATACCTCAAGCATGTGACGGAAATGTTACGCCCCTCACCATACTGTTGATGCCGTGTCCCGGCCGGAGCAACGAGACAAAAACATTAAAATCCATTACAAACGAGGCATTTGTTGCATCCAGTGGGGACATAATTACTGATTATAATGACTTATACTGTCTTTTTACGCGTTGCATCGAACCGTGTAAACATAAAACCCTGTCTGCATTTGTGATCGGAGAAATGACAAACAACAAGTGCTACTCTACACTGCCCAAAACT